TATGGTGGTGTGATGGTGTGACTCAGGTCATCCTTTGCTTTCTTTTCTTTTTTTTTGCATGTATCCACACTACAGTCCAACTAATCTTCCACCTGTTGGGATTTACTTCTTTTTTTGTTTCTTAATGTTAATGTGTTTTATGTGTGTGTTTTTGCTCTCTGTGTGTTTATCCTATAATAATTATTATTGCTACTCCATTGTGTGTGTGTGTGTGTGTTCTTGGAGACTCTCTCTGTGTGTGACTGGGCTTGCACTGTGGTAATAATGATGAACTGCTTTTTGCAGTGAGGGAAATAAAGAAATAATAATAACAGATGAATTTATATTTATAATTGCGTATATACACACATATATAGACTTATACCCATAGTTGGTGTATATTTCACGTATTTACTGGGTAAGTTGGGCTCAGTGTTTTATATCTTTTTCTTTGCTTATGGTTTGCTTGGGTTGTTCTGTGCAGAGAAAATAAAAAGTATTAATTGATATTTATGTATTCTTAATTGCATACACACACCAGCATATCTAGAGTTCTGTGAGATATTTTTCTGCGGTTGGTGATTTTCTCAGTTGTTTTGTTTCTTTTTCTTTTTGTGGGTGCTGTGTGCTTTGTCCTTCACTTTGCTGTTGAATTGTTTTGTGTGCGGAAAAACAATAATAAGGAATAAACATATATTCATAATTGTGTACGAGGTTCAACCGAAAGTGAAAATCTTTTTTATTTCTGTGCTTTGTGCTTCTGATAATCGTTCTCTCACTTTTTTACGGTTTTGATGGGTTAATTGGGATTTTCTTTTTTTCCGTACTGGGTATTCTGTTCTTTGTTGGGCTCTTTAATGTTTGCGTGCGTTGCCTTGTCTTGTGATTTTGCTAAGATTTGTTTTTTTTTATCTTTTTCTGCTTTTTTCTTTCTGTGTGTGTATCTATTTTATTTCTTTATTAGGTTCTGCTAACCTTTTTTTTCTTTGAGTTTTGGTTACATTGAACTATACAAGTAACTTTTTCCCCATGATGTTGCTGCGACGACTGTTGTTTTTTATGGCATTGCTTTTGAGTGTTGCCTGCGTGTGTGTGGCGGCTTCTGAAGAGACTAAAGAGAACGAAGGTCAAATTCCCGATGATGGTGATTGTAGTGTTTCAGGCAAGAAGAGTCCAAAGTGCAAACCTAAACCTGAGGTAGTTAAAGATTCTCCTGAGTGTGCGGACCCTCCTGGCGAGGAGAATTGTCCTACCGTGGGTGATGGGAGTGAAGATAGGTGCCCTCAAGGTTCTGAAACTCCTTGTTCACCAAAGGAACCAGCTCCAACTACACCGAAGGAACCTGCAAATAATCAAACAAGGGTATCTGATCCATCTGGTGGAGAGCCTGGTGCTGCTATTATTCCCAACAGCGATAGTGGGGCGGGGGAGAACCAAGAGGTACGGGGTGGAAAAGTGGAACGTGATGCTGCAGGTCAAACACCACTGGCACAGATTCCAGCAACATCTACCGCAACCACACAGCCCGTGAATGGTGAAAAACGTGATCCCGTTCTTCAAAGGACTGTTGATACTGGAACCGGTGTCCAACATCCTATTGCTGAAGTTCCTGCTGCTGTTGCTGGGGAAGGGAGTAATGGTTCGTCTCCATCTGAAGGTCAAACTGGAGCCAACGTCAACAATCCAGCAGGTGAAGCTGCAGTCAACGCAGAGAGTACAGCAGCAGCACAACCCACTTCTCCTTCTCCCGAATCTTCAGACACAGAGACTGCCAACGGTTCTGGCACTGCAAACGATGGGGGTGGCACTACACCTG